ACTGTGTTTCTCTTAACTTTGTATGTAAGTGTGTGCCATAACTTTTTTTTGTTTATGTAAAAAACAATTAACAAATTCGTGGCTAGAAAACAAAGGAAAAATAAAATTTTTGTATTGGAATTAAAAAAGTTTCATTTTGTAGTTGAAAACTCAATTAAAAGAATCTTTTTGTAAATTTTTTTTTGTGGTATAAAGTTTTCAGAGATAATTTAATAATAAATAATTCTTTTAATAATGAAAGAAAAAAAAATTGAAATTAAAAGTGCGGTTGAAAATTAAAAATCTTAATTATGAGTTCGTATAGGTTTTTTTTTTCCTGACAAGTTTTGATTGGCAGAGCCTTATAATGTAAGTTCCACTCCTTTATAAATTTTTTTGGTTTATATTTTTGAAGCAATCTGATCGGTTTTGTTTGATATGATTTTTGATTTGAGACTGAAATTATTGAGGAGGTTTTGCAAGAAATAAACAGCGGCGCGCATTCACTTTCTTGGATAAAATCAATTGACAAGAATTTTACCATTTTTGACCATGGTGACATTTTGATAATTTTATTTATTCTAGAATATTTGAATTTTTTTTTGTATAAAATATAAAATTAGAATATTAATGAAATAAACAATAAAATATCCATACGAACTTACATATTTGAAAATTTCGTCTAGGTTATTTTCTTTTAAATGGTTCTTTAGTTTTTCACCAAATTATTTTTGACAGCAAATAAATTCGATTTTTTTTTTGTTGTGCCAATTTGTGAATAAAAAAATAAATTTTCTTAAATATTTCCGAAATAAAAAATTTACGATTGTTACGATTTTTTTTATAATTTTACATCGAAAATTTCTCTTGGTCGTTTATTAGTTGGATGAAATTATTTTTTTCTTTTCAATGAGTGAAAACCTCTAATGTTTTAATTAATTTTTGAAATATCGCTACCAATCGTGCGTTTTGTTATAATGAAAAGTTTAAACTTCTAAGTTTAAAATTCAAAAACTTAATTTCACTTTTCATAATTATGGTTATTAATTTTAAAATAAAATAAAAATATTCATTTTATTAACGATATTATAATAAGTACCTATTTATTTTGAAATTATAATTTCCATGCAATGAACAATAAATTGCCATAATAATAAGCATTTAATGATGTCTTAAAAACTGAATATAAAATAACATTTAAAATAACATTAATTTAACGATAACATTAATAGATTTACATTAACAGATTTATTAAGCAAGACAGAACTAAATATATATATATAGCCAGAAATTAAATTTCTATTTGAAAATCATATTCAAATTACAGTGTTTTCCTTATAGATATTAATTATTTTGCGTTTCATAAATATATGTACATTGTATTTGAACTGATCTACTCATGTATAAAATAATATTTTCTTTGGCTGAAACTTATTTACATTCAACAATGTAAATAAAAGATTAATTGATTTTAATAGCATTAAATATATTTGCTTATTATTCGGTTTGTTTTTGCTTGGAACATGAAAAATTTTAATAATGGAATGTAGCTGTAACTTTGAAAGAATATGAACCGAGTATTCCGAATTTGTGGCAAATATGTAGCGGATAGTATATGCAAATCAAAACCCTTCAAACGGACAACCTAAAATGTAGATGTTGCGAGCACGATATTACATTGAAAAGTAAATAGCAACTATATTGATTTGTGGATTTAAATAAACACTAGGTAAAAATTTGCAATTCTGTGTGTTCCTATTTAAATTTAAAAGCCAAACGCTTATAAAATCTAAATATATATACATACGTAAATTTGGTTGCATAATTTTCTGTGGAAAGACAATTTTATATGGTTTATCGCTAAAAAAATTTAAATTTTATGTCATAAAATAATTAAAGCATTTTTCATACAAATATCGCATTACATAATCAATAACTATATTATCAGGATTCCTTTTATTATCTTAAAATTAAACAACATTATTGGAGAAGCCATTGGATTCAAGTATTCTTTAGTAAGAACATAGAAATCAAAATAAGTTTACTTTGAACTTTGATTTTTTCTCCTTTGTATTTAAACCTTTTTTTCCATTCAAAAATCATTTTCATTGTATTACATGTTAGTATAAAAGTGTTCGATTATTATCATGTCAATGTGATATGCATATACTTATGTATGTACATATATGTTTGCATTATAATGTCAACGATTTATTCAATTCAATTAAAAATTATGTACCAGTACATGTAAGTTTTATTTTCTTATTCCAATGGCAAGAATAATAAAAAATTTTTCTTTAATTTTCTTTTTCCATCAATGTCAAACCTAAAAATATGTATATAAACATTATAATCCATGCACATGCATACATATTATGTATATATACATATACTTATATCATTTCAATATGCACATTTGTATACATACAATATAATGGAATTTATGGGGACCTAAGATGCAATATAACATTATGTGTTTAGTGTTTTTTAATAAATAAACCTATAGAGACGTTGTGCTAGTTTCCGGTGTGCATTATCTTTGTGTTAATTATCTAAGTACGAAATTTAGCAAGCTGCAGAGCTGTAGAATAGAATCCATATAAAAACTTCTCATACGGCTAATGTTTTTTGTGTTTGGGTCTATTTGTGTATAAAAGTACCTAGAATTATAACGTATTTATTTTCAAAAGCTCTCAAATATTTCAAAGCCGTAGGGTAAGCAAATATACTTAATTAAAACAATATTTTTAAATGTTTTGCCGATTAAAATGAATAATAATGATAAAATTTGAATTGTTTTTCAAGTTTTCCTTTATTCCCTATTCTCTGCATTGGTAGAAAATGCTCCTTTGCACAAGCATTTGAATTTTCAACAGTTTTTTTTTTTTACAAAATCTTATTCTGATCAATTTATTAGCTTACGAGCTGCTTCCTTTGCAAAGAAGCTAAAATAAATTATTTTCAGCTCATTTTCAACTCAAAAATTAAATAGATTTTTATTTTATTTTGTTGCGTTTCAATTATTGTTTATTCTTCATTTATTATTCTTGACGTAATAAAATTCATGTTCCTTTTCTTTTCTTCTATGTTCTAGATGAATGACCATCGGCCATCTCGCTAACTAACCCATAACTTAAAATAATGTTTTGTTTTATTTATTCGTCTCGTTACCTGGCAATATAATAAATTAAATAGGTTTACTTAATATGTTTTCTTTTCTAATGATATTTTTTTTCAATATAAATTTATAATTTTCTTTAATTTTGCATTGTATTCAGTCTTCAATAGACCTTAAAACGATAGTTGAACAAAGAATAAAGAATGTTGAGGAAAACATAAAATTGTAGAAATAACCATTAATAAAATAAGTAGAATATATGTGTATCTATCTATGTAGTGAACAAATGTACAGCTCATAGGTTTAAAAGAAAATCAATCACAAAACATTTATAGAATTGATCAATAGAAAATTTTTTGCCGTCTTTTACTCTATGCCAGTATTTATTGTATGCACATAAATATTAATTTATTATTTAATTCTACAGTATTACTTAACTAACGAAAGATTAAAACCCTACAAGTACTAATGCGTATCATTAAATAATACAATTTTCAGTTCAGAATATATTGAACTTCAAATGGAAATCAATATAATTATGTATTTTGTATGTCGTTCTGGTAAAAAATGTTGTTATAAGGTTAACAATTTCAATTTGAAATCATAGACGAAGGGTAATTCTATATAGAATGTTTAATTAAACATGAAAGGTATATTAAAAGAGAACATTAGGAATTTGAAAGAAGAGTTTGAGAGAAGAAGATTTCCTTTTAAAAATAATAATTTTTTACTGTTAATTATTTTAACTGACATTATATAACTTGAAAGAGGTGCGTTAAAAGGGTAATTTTAAGTAGAATTTACCAAAAATTTTATTGTAAAAATGACATTTCACAATAATTTGAATACTGCTATAAAGAAATTGTTACAAAAGGCTTAACAATTTGCTAATATTTTTGGTTCTTTTTTAATATTATACAAATATCTAATGTATTATGGAAACAAGATAATTTTGGAAGTAAATTGGAGTTTATAAAGCTCATTGTGCGTAAATTTAATTATCTTCTAAAATCCAGATATGCATATATCCATATGTGTATATATATTCGTATGTATATGTTGTCATAACATTTATATATTAAAGGAATAATATGCGTGGCTTGTAATAACATTATGAAATTTTGTAATACTATTTGGATAGTACGCAAATATTATTGAAATTTAAAGGTTTCAGTATTTAGAAACATCAACACCTTACTGATGGGCTTAATTTTCTGAACCAAGTAAACGAAAAAAATGGCTATAATGAATAAAAATTAACAATGACACAATAAATGATGAGGAAAAGGTGCACTTCAACCACATTTTATATGAAAAATTTTTGTATATGGTAATGCCTTGGTACAAATCACGTTTTTTTTTTATACCAAGATTTGACGCAATACTATAAATTTTTATTAAAAAAAAAATTATTTCTCCTATACCCGAATGAAAATAAAACTTCTGAAACTTTGTAATGAGTTCTGGAATGCCACGTGCAATTATTTAAAATCATTCAATTTGAAACAGGCAAAACAGATTTCCTTTTGTTTTTTGTCTTTATTTTTCAAATCCAATTAACTTTTCCTCAAGTTACTACTATTTTAAGTTTTCCACTTATTTTCATGTTCATTGAGCATTTCCAACATTTTTTTTTCTTTTTTACAAAATATCAAAAATGTAATAAAAAAAACTAAATGAAATAAAAACGAAAATATAATTTTACCACGTGACTATTTTGACATCTGTGCAGTGAAAATATATACTTACATATAAATACAAACGATAAAGCCTTATAAGGCTGAGAAAGAGATGGAAAGAAGAAAATTTCATAACCCGGCAAAAGAAGGAAAACTGATAATTTGCAATACAATCAGTTTGATTGGAAATTTTTTAACCTGCAGAGGTGTTTTCTTCCTTTACATTTTTTAACTTTAGTATTGTAGTTTGGTTTGTTGTCATAAAATGAATTTTCATACACCAATTTCCAATGAGTAATTGGTTATTTTTTTGTGTGTAATGCGTAAAAAGTTGTCGATTTTTTTTTTAATTTTCTGACATTGGCGAATAAAAAAACAGTTTTTCGTGCGAAAAACTCATCATTAACGTTTATTTTATCGCGTTTTTTCTCACAATTTGCAGAAAAAACCAAAAAAAAAAGATATAGTGAATTTTAAAAGTGTTAAATAGAAAATAAAGAAGAAAAAAATTGTCTAAAAATGTGATATTCGAAATCAGTTTTTTTTTATCGAAAAAATTAATTACACTTTGAAACGAAAAAATAAAAAACACCAATAAGATAAGCAAAGCAAGCGTGTATTGACTTCAATTAATTTAGGTGTGAGTTAAAATTTTTGAAATTAATTAAATATGTAATGAGTTTTTAATAAATTAAACTGACTGCGTGGTATGTTCCGCGGTATGCAACCAAATTATTTAATTAATTAGGAAATTAAATTAATTTTGTGAATGTGATTATGAAAGTCAAATTATAAAAAAATACTTTCGTGTGCTTATAATATTGGGGTTTGTCACTTACTTTAAAAACTTAATTTTGATTATCAGGATGTTTCTATTATCTATAACTTTAATAATGTGTAACAAAACTAAGAATCTATATTAAATTCCTAAATTTCTAGTTCTCTTCGATTCTCAAATAATTGCTTCTACATTAAATGAATAGAAATTTTTGAATCAACTTAGAATAAGCGTGAATATTTCCTGCATCATGTCAGGGATTTTCTTTCAAATGATTCCTTATTACTGTTACATACGTGAAAAGCTTAATATGCTCTTTTCCCTCCTATGTGATCCCTATAATTACCTTCAAAAACAATATTTTGACTCTATTACAGCCTTACTCCCACCGTATTTTCCATTGTATCTTTTTTTGGTCGCAATTTTAGTTTGTAACGAAATAATCTACATATTTGCATTTGCTTACATAATTCTATTACGTGTAAGGACGTATTATACGCATACACTTGACTCAATTTCGAAATTTCCATTATCAACACTTGAAAATGTACACAATTTTTTTTATGTACACGTACATGCCTACATTATTATGAAAATATTTATAAACATTGACCTCTTCATTTCATTTGCTTTACTTTAAAATGAATTAGATTAAATCAATCAATCAAATATGGATCAATATCAATCAATCAAAAAATAAAACAAAAAAACTATTAAATATGAAATATAAAAGCGCATAGTGTAGAGCGTACTATAATATCTTTTGTATACCTATACTGCAGAAGCGGTTAGTAAACTGCAATAGACTTTTTTACAAATTAAAATTTATTTCTTTTTCACAATATTTTTTTATTATAAAAATTATTATAAAATAACCTCGAATTCAATTCAAAGAAACAAAAACTAATTTTTTAATTGTATTTCATATTTCAATCGTATGATGATAATATTTAGAAATCAAGATATTGGAATGAGTCATGTGAGTGAGGCAGAAATTTTTTTTTAATTTTGATAAATTAAATTTGATTTTCAAAAATTAATACATATGGGTTAGAAAGATTATTAAGAAAGGACTTAGGGCTAAGTTCATATTTAGAATAAAATTGTTAATATATATGTAAGTATATATATATATAAAAAAAATTAAAAATTGGTTCCCGTACAAAATAACGTAAAACTGAGTTTTCCGGTAACGGAATTTGGAAGTACTCAAATATTTTTTTGTGGAAAGAATTTGAAATTTTACTACTTACTTTGTAAGTCTCTCATGCTATCTATCATGCTAACACTGTTGAAATATGTAGCTTTTTTAAAAACTAGCTTCAAATTGCTTACAATGCATAAATGAGAATGTATAACTTAAAAATTGCACTAGTATTATGTGGGATTGAAAATAGATCAAGAGCGGTTTTCAGTGACGAAATTTGAAAGTCAGCAAAAGCTGATAATATGGCATTAATTCCGTCATTACTGGTTTTTTTTATATAAATATACCACATTTCTACAAGAGCTCTTAAAGTATTCCAATACTATAATTTAGAGTAGTCGGTAGTTCTGATTATAATCTTACAAAAAATATTAATTTGTAATCCAATACACCTCCATTAACACTCGTGACGTTTATTATTAAATAAATAAAACTGACCTATCCAAAATGAAAAGTTTTGTAAATAAATGACAAGTAATTCACTTCAAACTTTTACAAATTCAACACTTTTTTTTTTCTTTTCGTCTTTGAAATTTTTTTATGATATCAAATTTCCATACATAATTTTTTTTCTACTCAGAAATTCAAAATAATTTTCTTCTAGTCATTTTTGTTATATTTTCTGATTGTTTGCAGAATCAGATTTCGGCATATTCAGTTGTGTTTTTTTTTAATCTTTTGTCATTTTTTTAATATCATCAAAATGTTTTCAACAAAACAATTTATTCGAAAAACTTCATTTTTCTCAAAATAAATTTATGTTTGTACTTAAAAAAAAAAAGAACAAAAAAATATTCAATTTTTCATTTCAAGCATGATTGATTGCATTCAATGTCAATAAAATATGATGAAGAGTGAGAAAAAAAATGATAAAAATATTATTGTACTTTTTACAGTACATTTTTCTTTGCTGTTACACAATATAGATGGCGATGAATCGATCGATCGATTGCGATTGTTTTATTTTTGTGTAATATTTAGTCGATTACATTAAATTTTTTGCTTTTGTTTTTTTTCTATTCAATTTGGATTACAGTGAATATTCAATTTCCTCAGATTAATATAAAAAAAAAATTTGAAAAACTGTTTTAGTTTGGCTTTTTTTTTATTTTGGAATTCATTTTCAAATTGGGGCCAAAAATAAATTGATATCGATGTCATGAACTAATCTTATGTGAAAATTAATTTTTAGAACCAACAAAAATTTAGTATATCAATATATACATAGGTGTTTTTAAAATTCAATCCAAATGCTTTGATTTAATTATTTAATTTTATTAAAGAAGATGCGATTGGCTTGTTAGAGATGGTCATTAATCAAATTAAATGTTCGATCATATTCATTAATTAAATTTGCGTAGGTATACAAATGTGGCCTGCGATATGTATGCATTGCATGTATTTAAAAGTTAACATTATTTAAAATATTTATCAAAGTTAAGAATTTGCAACTTCCTTTGCGAGCACATTTTTTTTAATTGCATTATATTATTCTATTGAGTGGACTAATAGCGGTTATAAAATCGATTTTATACGAAATTTAATTTTGATTGTCTAATTAGTATTTAACTGTCAAAATTAACTGTCATCTAATTTAAAATATGCATGGTTCTTAATTTAATTCCTTTTAATTTTTTTTTGTATGCATATATGTGTTTAAACGACGGACATTTTTATCAAAATTTAATTTTTATAATTTTCTTTCAAATAATATTAGCCCCATATGGATATTAACTTATGATAATTAATTTTTTTTATCTCAGACGATAGTTAATTTGTGACAGTTATAATTATTGTCAATTTTTATTTCATTTTTTTTCTGCTTAGATTCATTATTAATTTAAATTTAGGTCACTAGAGTTTGTATTATTTGCCCTTTAGTATTTAATTTTTTTATACTCATTTTGTTATTTAATTTCGTTTTGGTTAACCGCGCTCTTGTCATCCCATAATCATCTACATAAACATTATATAGTGACAGCCATTAAATAATTTTTTTTTCTAAATTTCATTTTTAAAATGAATTGATTTATTTGAATAATGTCAAATGAAATGAATAAAAAATGAGTATAATAGGATGGTAGACTTGAACAGGTGAGTGAATATACAAATGGAAAGAAAAAAACTTGGGAATATTTAAAATTTAAAATTTAGCATCAAAGGTTAGTCGCATAGTGTAAAATTCATTATTCATTTTTATGCTTCAACAGTTTCAAATATAACTGTATAGATGTTTATTTGCGTGTGTGTATAAGTAAAACAATATTTAGGTTTTACACTTATTTAGGTCAGGGTAAATAAATTTTTGCGGAAAATAATTGAAAAATTATTCGTAACAGATTTTTTAGGCAAATATTTATTTAATTTGTAGCTTGTGTGTAGTTTCAATTATAGTTTTGTTATTGAGTTTAATTGATAAATCTTATAAGGTATGAAACGATAAAAAGTATAATTATGATTATTTAGTGTTATTAAATTACAAGTGTGTATATTAGAATAAAAAAATTGAACATCAAAACCACACAAAATTTTATCATAGTTGGAAAATTAGCATTAAAATTTAAATTTAAAGTGCTTAAATCAAAAACTCAATTAAAATTTTCAATTTCGCAAGTAACGCGAATTGGCATTTAAGTGATCATAGACCAATTCTTTTATAAGAGCAATCTACTACTCGCATTAATAAATTTTTAAAATTTCGGTGTTGCAGTGGGAGAAAATTTTAACAGTAATTTAAATTCTTTAATATTCATTAAATTATAAAAACTCATATTCAAAAACCTGATATTATTTAAATTTAAATAATATTGAATGAAACAGTTGTCTTCACTCTTTCATGTCCCGCCAATAAAGGTCATTCCACGCAGTCAAGCCTAGCTTAGCGACAGAAGAGGCAGTACACTGAAAGACAGCAGCTGTAAGAAGTCAGAACACAAATGGTACAATTTTTATCCCTCCTTTTTAAATTGACTTTAGACGCATCTCTCATGCATGCATTTCCTGCAATCAAGTGCTATTTGGTTGCTTTGACTCAATTGATTTTTTGTAAAGTAATTCTTAACCTTTCAAACTAAAAAAGCATAATATATTAAATATATTTTTTTATATTTAATAATAATAAATAATGGTATAAAAATTTCAATCTTATCTTTACAGATCACTTTGTTGATTGCACGGTTCAAATATCATTTTAATAGCCCCATATATTATGTATAAAAGTAATTCAACTGACTTTTTCATCCTCTGTTCATATTTTTCTTATAAATTTTTTTTTACATAATTTTTTTGCTTTTCGAATAAATCGATTTTATTATATTTGCCATGTGCTCCTAATTAAAAAAATTTAATTGAAATGAAAGTAAAATTTAAAAAAAAAATCAATTAATAATATTTTTACTTTAATTACAATAAAATCGCTTAATGATTTTATTGGCTTTTTCGTATAAATTTCATAATAAAATGCGATTTAAATGATAATGAAAAAGAAGCAGAAAAAACAGAGCATTTTTCGCCATTATACAAATTTTAACTTGTGTAACAAAGAATTTCAAGAAAGAAAAATAAAAAGAAAAGAGAAAAATTTAATCGCGTTAAAGTAAATACATAATAAAGATATCGTAAACAATGGCGGCTGCACTATCTCTGTACACAACATTGAATGACGTTATCGTGATCGTAACAATCATTTACTTGATTGAAATGTTAAAAATCTCATGTATCATGATTAAATAATATTATTTCTAATATAATTTTAGTAGCAAGCTTAATGTACTCAGCTTACTGTCTAACTGATTGTATAACCATCATTAAGACCGAACTTTTTTTATCTATGTACATACGTAATTGTAATTTATGTACCTACAAATAGGTAGGTAATTTATTTTTAATTTAAATTATGATTAATTTATCAAATTTTTTTTTGTTTAAAAAATTAATTCGATCAGGGTTGAAGACCTTTTGTTTATGCTCAATATTATGAAGAAAAAATATAATTGATTTTTTTGCTTTTTGGAAAGAAGTTAGTATTAAAATAAAGATGCTATAGATAGTTATTTTTTTTACTGTAGCAGCTCGTACAAAATTTATAAGAATTAGTAATAAGCTGACATATGTGGCTTGTGCTATTATTAAAATTTCTTAGTTAAACTGCTTTTTTTAGGTATTAACTTCACTTTAAACTTAGTAAGTTTAACCTGCTTCAACGTAGCTAGCATTTTTTTTATTTCCATTTCTCACAAATTCTGTGGAGATTAGGAAATAGAATAAAAAAATTAAGAATCAAGAATTGAAGGTAGAGGATAGGAAATGGAAAATGGTGAATGGAAAATGGAGAATAAGGAATAAAGAATAGAGATTTATGATTTTCTAAATTCTACAATTTGGTCGAGCTCTTTCAGGTCACAAGTTTCTAGTTCTAAATTATTAAAAATGAATCTAGTTAAATCACATACGAGTCGCAGTTCACCATTGCATCTGTTATACAATGAAATAGTTGAGAAAATTAATGCAAAGAGATCTATAGTAATGGAAATAGAATTAATTGTCTAAGTGAATAAATATTATAGACAAACAAATAGACCGTAACTAATGCACTCGGACAATTTGAAAAAAAAAAAAATTTGAAATTTACAATTAATTCTTAAGAAAAAAATATTTACAAAGCGTTGAAAAATTTTTTTTGACAAAAATTTATTGCCTTACGAAAAGGAAACTCCAAATGATTATTATTTACTCGCAAATTATTACAAACGTAAAAAAAAAAGAGAGAGAAGGAGAAAAAAAAACTTTTCCGCTTAGATTTTTTACCAAATTTTTTAGGTGATTTGAAAAACTTAATGAAAACTTAAATTAAAAATTGAAATATCACGAAATTTGGTACTTACGTGAATTTTCATATTTTTTTTGCTTTTTTTCATAATTTCCTAATTTGTCTGGTAACAATGAATTTGATATGAATTTTTATTTTAATCAATATATGCTGTAGCCAGGTGCAGTGTAGAGCTTACCAAACAGTAAAAAATGAAAACCATCTAACCGAAACATTATGTTTGTTTCTAATTTTTTTTTAACTTTTATTGTTATTGTTTTAAAGGTTATTATTTAATACTACATACGTGGGCATACATAAAGGCATCATGAACAATGGACATGAAAATATAAAGAATTTCTTAAGATTTCGTATATAATACGCAGTGTACCTATGTACCTGAAATGTCATTAAGAAAATGTTTTTGACATATATACATGCTTGTGTATGTATGTTTGTAGTTGTATAAAAATAATGTTGGAAATCATTCAACTCTGCCGATTTATCTTGCAAAACAATTTAAAATTTGCTTATACATACATACGTTATTTATGAAAAATTAAAAAAAAAGCAAAATGAAAATAATTAAAAAAATGAGGAAAGAATTTTTGAACATTTTATCATGATGTTATTGAGATGATGGATGGTTTAGGTATTATTTTGGTGTGGTATGGTATCAGAAGTTTTTAATCATAATTGAAATTATGATAATGGATCAGTTCTTCTTTAACTTTTAAGGTTACGTAATAATAATAGTAATAATGAAAATAAAATTTGCCAGGGAAATACGGATATTTCCATCTTCTCTGCTTGAAATATATTAAGTTTTTAAGTGATGATGGATCATTTAAAAAATTTTGAAAATTTTTTGATTTAAAATAAAGTTAAGAATATAGATTTAAAAGATTTTTATTTTTATTTTATTCAATTTAAGAAGTGGCGTGCTTGTGTTAATTCTTTGGAAAAATTTTCAATGTTAAAATAAAAATTAATATTTAAATCAAACTTTTATTCTAATCCGGTTTTATAGTTGTGCCTCGTGCTTCTTAATTACCTTGAAAATTAATTGTTTCACAAAAAATTTTCATGTGATTTTGTACAAAATTTCAATTATAAATATTTCATCTATACTTTTATCAGTACTGACATACTAACATACATTGAGTATTTTTCAATTCAACTACCTAATTTTATCTTTAAAATAAAGAAGTGATTTATATATGTGGTTTGAGACCTTGCTTTCAACCAGCTATTGTCGCAATTTTACGAAGTTCGGCTCCTTTTTCTAAGTTTGAAAATATTTTATTGCTATAATCGAAAATAAGTATGGCAGAGATTTTTAAGTACAAAATTATAAATAAATTTTGTGAAAATAATAAGTATGTTTGTCAATCCTTATATAGCGCGTGTCACTCAATTGTTTTGTATATTTAATTTCGAATTAAAATTCTTAGCACATCTTTTTTGAAACGAGTAATTTAAAATAAGCTGAGTATGTCCCGTTTTCTAAAAGAAGCCTACATACGTGTATTAATATATGACATTTAAATGCTATGCTCTATAACCTTTGTCATTTATATAACAATACGAATTTTTTAATTTCAATTTCTATCTCAAATTAACAACGTAATTATTTCAAATGAGAGAACAAAATATTTTCGCCCATTGTTTAAATAAGGGCACACATAACATACATAAGTACATAATGATTGCACATAATATGAAAAAAAAATTTATGAGAATTATTTAAAAAAAAATTTATTCATTCTTGCTTTTTTTACCTGAAATTTTTACCTGTATTAAAATAAAAGCTTTTATATACAATAATAATAAAAAAAATAGATTGCATGAAAATAAATTTTATGCCATGCTTGTTTTTGAATCTTTAATAAATCGCCTAAAAGTGAGAAATTTTCAATTTTTATAAAAAGACATGCCATAAAAAACAGAATGATTACAATGATAATGGCGTCGGCACATAGCGGTAAGTGCTTGTACTAATATGAGACGGCTTCTTTAATAATAGTGTGAAAATTTGTGAAAAGATTAAAATAAAAGACATTTTAATAAATTTAGACATTACCTTGATGTGGGGTCAAATAATATAGCATATGAGCTTTTAAATGTTATCTTTATTAGAAAATTTAAAAAAAAAAAATGAATGATGAAAAATGTTCCATAGGGGGGGAACACAGTAGGGTTACTCTAATTTCAATACGCTACACGACATGGTGTGTAATCAGGATCAATGAGGGAAATAATTTACTTTTTGTTTAGGTATGTTAAACCTAAATGATTAGATAAGTTTATAATTTTGCCTGAATACAAATTTGTTGTGTAATATTCGTGTGTAAATGTGTGAGTGCCTTTAAATATATTTGCGCTCATTTAAATCTAAAGTGATTATTTAATAGTTTACACTTATTTCACTTCTTCTTTACATTTGAATTTATATTTAAAAGACGCCTGAATTTTCAAATAAATTTTAAATAATCGTAATATACAATGAAATTATTAATTCATAAAAAATGAAATTTTAAAAATATTAAAATAAATTTTTGTAATATGATATGAAAATATTTGAAAGTCTTTTTTAAACTTATTGCATATTTTATTGCCATATAACTTAAAAGTAATCGCTTAATTATAAATAAATATCATGGCTTTAATATAATCAATAAGTAATCAATAAAAATGTAGGTACGACGTTAGAGAGACCAACTATGATTTTTTTTTGATTTAATTTCAAATAATTTTTGAAATTTTATTTTGAGCGAGCAATCGATTCATTTAATTATCTCATATGAACGCTTATGAAACTATGAATTTTTATTATTATATCGGTTTTTCATATGTAAATTACTTGATGGATTTCGTGATAACAGGTGAATGTGTGAATTCCAGTTGAGCTTTCAATTTCTTTTTGATTAATTTTTGGTATTTATTAAAAATAAAATTTTTATATGTAGGTTTCATTGTATAATACAGAAATATAACGCGATTTTGACGGATTTCTTGGAATGTGCAAAATATTTTAAATTTTTCTTCTAAATAAAATTGATAATCATATAGAAATAATTAAAAAATATTATTAACTTATGTAAATATATTAAACTACTAAGTATATGTTGTTTCTTTTAATTTTACAAGTACAACAAGCAAATAAATCTTAAAATTTCGTTATATAGAATGCTTCTATATAGTCTTATAATTAAATAGTTAAAGAACAATCCTGCAATGCGTTTTTTGAAAATCTTTGAATTTTCCGATTCGTTTATTCTTTTAATATGTATATCAATAGTATATTTTGTATTTTTCACCACAGCAGAGTTTATTTGATCCTAAATTTCATCAAAAACAATCTATTTAAAGTCATTTATATCGGAGTTATTCAATTGATTTCAATATTTA